CGTTTACATAGCTGCCAGAGTGAGCTGATTTTAACCTGGTTGTTAAAATGCAAGCTAAACATCATACTAATTTAGTAGCAGCATTCTTTTTGAGGGTTCCAGTTGGTTCCAGTTATTTACAGATAGAAGGATTGTAACTTAGTAACTAGTTAATTGAGTAATAAAAGAACTACTAGTTGCTTTAAGTTTTGCTTAATCAACCATTTAAATATTTTTAAGGAAGCCTGGATGCTTTGACCTTGTTTAATTACAGCTTTGTGTTAAACAAATTCTATAAAATCAACAGTTAATTTATTTAATCAAATAAGCTTTCAGTTAAAAGTTAAAATCAATAAAAGTCAAATTAGCATAAACAATTTAAATTGAAGCGTAGTTAAGTAAAATTAAATCAGGTTTAAGATAAATGTTGAAATAGACAGAAGCATATAATAGTCAAATACTATTTAAATAAGATGAAAGCTCTTGAATTAGTTCATATTTACAAAACCTTTGAAAAAGTATTTAAAAGCTATGTCATTAAAGAATAGACCATTTAATCTAACCTGGTTTAAGGTTTTTGTGATTAAGTTTTAGAAGCTGTCAAAGTTACAAGAGAATCATTACAAGTTCTTGGTTGTGGGAACTTTACTTGACATGTAGACGGGGCTAAGCACTTTGTTTCACGGCAGACAATGAAGGCGTTTTCAAGGAGTCTAGTGTCGGACGTCCCACCTTAGGAGGAAATTCCGTCCATATAAGCTTGATGCTGTTCAAGATGGTGACGACTCTCTAACTTTCAGCTAGCAACAACAACAGGAGTGCAAACGGCTTCATTTACAAACAGCACAGGTGCGCGGGCATGCCCACGTGTTCAAATAGAGTTACAGCACACACAAAGTTTTTCAACTTTAAACGTTAAATCTGCACTCTGTATCGCCGTTGCTCTTTCACTGTTGCGTTTAGCACAGGAATGAACCCAGGTCGGACGGATGATGAGTAAAACCAAAAATGTTTATTTGACAAAATAAAACAAAGAGCTGACAGGGCAGCAAAATAAAATAAAACTAAACACTAGGATATGAGACAGAAGGAAATCCATACAATGATCTAGTGAGGTAGTTTAGAACTGAACCAGAATAAACAGAGGATGAGGGAAGATGAACAACAGCTGGAGAAGATACTGATTACAAACTACTGTCAGGTGAGTGATAAACTGAAGGAGAATGACAGGCAGTGGTGGGCACCAGCCTGTTAAAGCGCAAATCCGCTAATTGCGGACCTAAATATTTCGTTTGCGCTTTAGCAGTCTTACTAATTTTTATAATTCATAGGCAGATTTATTCACGCTTTCTAACATTAAAATTAAAAATTAAAATTAGTGGAGCTGAGTGGAGTGGACGCTGTATAAATTGGGGTGCAAATGAACAGCTCATTCATATTTAGCTTGTTGTGGCGCTACAATTGGAATGGGTTTTTTTGTTTTGTTTTTCTATACCAGTTTTGTATAACATTTACAAATGAGACAGTTTCAACAAGACCGACCTGTCTAGAAAAAAGGAAATTGAAATACCCAGTACAAAAGTATCTCTACCTTATCTCATTTCAAAAATATTGAGGTAATATTTGGTGAAGATCGCGAATCACATATTTGTTAGACAGCAAAACTTTGTCACAAAAAATGATTATAACTTATTAAAATGTAAATTTAATTTAGCAGAAGCTGAAAGAGAGATTCTTACTTACATTCTTGTGTTTAACACATCTGCCTATATTTGGCTCTGATAGATGGCCGTGTTTGCCATCTTGAAATAAAATTCAACCAAAATAAAGGGCTAGTATTCCATGAAGGAATTCCTATAGGCAGCCTTTCTTGGCAGAGTTGTTTTATTTTTTACTGTACCTTTGACCCTTTATTGTCTCTGTACTTTTTTTCTGGTTTATTTCAGATGTACTTTTTAAAATTCAATACAAAGGGTTCTCATATTTTCTTACCTATATCAAAATGAGAGTGGTAGTGGTTCTCATTTTCATCGAGAGGAGCCAGTTGAGGTGGCTGGCACAAGTGAGGATGCCTCCCTGGTGAGGTGTTCTGGGCACGTCCCACTGGGAAGAGACCAAGAGGAAGTCCCAGGACACGCTGGAGGGCCTATGTTTCTCAGCTGGTCTGGGAACCTCTTGGGATGCCCCAGAGGAGCTGGCCCAAGTGGCTGGGGAGAGGGAAGTCTGGGTCTCTCTGATGAGGCTGCTGCCCCCGCAACCCAACTCTGGATAAGCGGAGGAAAACTGAAAATGTTCTAATTTTTTCTGACTAATGTCAAAATGTCTGCTAATCTCTCGGCCTCATGCTCCTTTTAATGTGTTGTGTTTTTTCACTTTAGTTTTTAAGTCTAGTTTATCTGCATCTGGATTTAGTCAAATACGAGTTTGATGTTTTTAAAAGGGGGCTATTATAAAAAATTGACCTTTTTTTTAGCTTTGTATCATGCTATGTTATTACCTCATCAAAAACATACCCAGAGTGATCCTTTAACTCATCCCTGTTTATTTTGGAAATCCTTGAATCTCCTGTGGTGGCCATGTGGAGCTGTCTAAACTCTCACTGCTACAAAACTCCACCTATTTGTACAAAACTGAAGCTCAGTTTGCAGTAGATATTCTGCCCCACAGAGCACCCCACCTGTTAGGCATTGTTGTGAAGACATGCTGAAGTGGGGGTGTAAGAAGTAGAAGGTGGTTCTTAAAGAGACAGACGCCAATTTCATGGTGTTTAGAAAGACTACATTGCAAGATCAAATTTATTTTTGATATACAGAGCCTTTTCATATTAACTGAAGGTAACATAGTTACTTGATTGTGGTATAGAATTGAAGTTTGCACCTGGAAAATACATTATATATTCAAGACGCCTTTGCAAGCCATTTTTATGTTTTACTTTATAAGAAACTGATTGCAAAACCTTTAGCTTAACATTTTTGTGGAAGAAAAWTTAACAAATTCAATCATATTAAGTTGTCTTATCTTCTTTTACATGGCATTGCATTCTGTTGAATGAATTCTAAATTTATATTACATAATATTAGTTTAGTTAAGAAGGTTTAGAATTTTATGCTTGGGGTCCCTCTCGGGGTCTTTGGCACTGGTCTCCCTTATGTCAGCTTCCGGCTTTGCGGGTCGCGTCTGTGGTCCCCCCACACTCACTTT